TCTAGTCCAACCCCCTGCTCAGGCAGGAAGCCCTATACCATTTCAGACAAATGGTTGTCCAATCTCTTCTTTAAAACTTTCAGTGTTGGAGCATTCACAACTTCTGGAGACAGGTTGTTCCACTGGTTAATTGTTCTCACTGTCAGGAAATCTCTCCTTAGTTCTAGGTTGCTTCTCTCCTCGTTTAGTTTCCATCCGTTGCTTCTTGTCTTGACTTCCGGTGCTTTGGAGAATAGCTTGACTCCCTCTTCTTTGTGTCAACCCCTGAGATATTGGAACCCCGCTATCATGTCAACCCTCGTCCTTCTCTTCATTAAACTAGACCTACCCAATTCCAGCAACCGTTCTTTATATGTTTTAGCCTCCAGTCCGCTGATCATCTTTGATGCTCTTCTCTGCACTTATATGGCCACCCACCTCCAGCCACCATACAACAATGATAGCCCTATTCTTATTTTCTAAATATGATTTCCGGAAATATTATGGTGTTGCTCAGAATATTTTAAAAACCAAACAAAACTCGGAGCTTTCTGCCCTATAATGTCTTATCAGTTTGCTTATAAAGAACATTTAATGTTTGGCCCACCTGGGAGTTTAGATGTGGGCCATAAATTAATGAAGTCCCTTGTTTATTGGTGTGCTTTTGTTAGAAGTAGGTGGGAATTCTTTTCTCTCTTCTTCCTCATAGCGGTATTATTTCTGTATGGCGTATTGAACAAAGCAGCTCATTAAATATTGGCAAGATTTGCTAGCGGTAAGGTTTACGGCAAGGTCATATTAAGAATTTATCTGATGTTTAATAAAGATTAGTTGTTCACTGCTTCAAGGCCTCTGTGGCTTTATTAAGATATGATAAGCTCTGCATATATTTGTCAGTAACAAGCTGTTGTTGTTGTTTTTGTTGTTTTGGGGCATGTATTCACTTTTGGTATGTGTCCAGAGAAACAACAGCATGTTGTGTGCTTAGGAGATTTCATTTGAGTTCTTGCTTTGAACTGGTTAAAAACAACAACAACAAAAAATCCCCCCTCAAGATGGATTCTGTCCTAAAGTTTCTTTTCACAATATCTTATTGTCTCTTGCACTCAAAGCAAGGACTGAATTCAAGCTGTGTTTTACATTTTCTTTAGATTCGTACAAACAAAGATCTATTGTCCTTAGATGAGGATCTACAACACAGAAAAGTGAATTGCTAGATCTGTAGAATAGCATGTGAGATGGTTGTAAAACACGATAATATTTGAAGACAGTCAATATGGGTCTCTGGCAGTAATGCAGATACATTCCATCCAACGGTCACATGGTCAGCGTATGTACTCCCAGGCTGCAATAATGCGTAACAAAATAATAATAATAATAATAATAATAATAATAATAATAATAATAATAATAATAATAATAATAATAAAGTTGGAAGGGACCTTGGAGGTCATCTAGTCCAACCCCCTGCTCAGGCAGGAAACCCTATACCATTTCAGACAAATGGCTGTCCAGTCTCTTCTTAAAAACTTCCAGTGTTGGTGCATTCACCACTTCTGGAGGCAGGTTGTTCCACTGGTTAATTGTCCTCACTGTCAGGGAGTTTCTCCTTAGTTCTAGGTTACTTCTCTCCTTAATTAGTTTCCATCCGTTGCTTCAGGTGCTTTGGAGAATAGCTTGACTCCCTCTTCTTTGTGGCAGCCCCTGAGATACTGGAATACTGCTATCATGTCCCCTCTCGTCCTTCTCTTCGTTAAACTAGACCTACCCAATTCCAGCAACCGTTCCTTATATGTTTTAGCCTCCAGTCCCCTAATCATCTTTGTTGCTCTTCTCTGCACTCTTTCTAGAGTCTCAGCATCTTTTTTTACATTGTGGTGACCAAAACTGGATGCAGTATTCAACTTGTATGCCATATGACTCTCAATAGTCTAGTGAAAAGAAGGACTAGGGGTGACATGATAGCACTCCCTCCCTTCCTCCTTCCAATTTTTGATGTGCTCAACTCCAAAGGGCTTTACACAATTCAGAAACTAAAGTAATAATAATAGTTCCTGGGAAGAACTTGATAGGCAAATAGAAATGGCAAATCCAGTCTGAACATCTGGCTGCGTCTGTGACAAACCATAGAAATTATAATCATGGCCTACAGTCTCACAAACAAAAAAGACATTTATTGTCTCTACTTGGTAATTCTTTCATGAGTACAATTAAAACAGCATGTAAGCGTATAAAAATCATAGTAAGACATGTTATACTGTACATCCTCTGTAATGTGGGAGCCATGGTGGTGCAGTGGTTAGAATGCAGGCTAGCTCTGCTCACTGCCAGAAGTTCGATCCTGACCGGCTCAAGGTTGACTCAGCCTTCCATCCTTCCAAAGTCGGTAAAATGAGGACCTGGATTGTTGGGGGCAATCTAACAGCTGGCAGTTAGAAGAAGTAGCCTGCAATACTGCATTCTAACCACTGCACCACCACGATTACCTGTTTGTTCAATTCAGTGATGGGATTCACCCGGTTCGCAAGCTAAATTTTGTTGAGTTCGGAGAACCGGCTGAATGCACTCCTGGAGGATGCCTTCCAGGCCTTGAACAGCCTACCAGAAGTGCGAGGATGCCATTTCCGGAAGTCCGTTCTAGGCCTCGGAGGCCTGGAGAAGGCCTCCCAGGCCTAGAACAGCCCACTGGAAGTGCGAGGATGCCACTTCCGGAAGTCCGTTCTAGGCTTCCGAGGCCTGGAGGAGGCCTCCCAGGCCTAGAACAGCCCACTGGAAGTGCGAGGATGCCACTTCCGGAAGTCCGTTCTAGGCCTCCGAGGCCTGGAGGAGGCCTCCCAGGCCTAGAACGGCCCACTGGAAGTGCGGGGATGCCGGAAGTCCGTTCTAGGCCTCGGAGGCCCAGGCCTGCATCCACACAGAGAACCAGTTGTTCAGGGATTTCAATCTATATATTGTAATTATTTGACACATAAAATTAAATCAATGTTGGGATTGTCTGCTTGCGGCAGAGACACTCACTTGCTCTCTTTTGTAGGACCCCTCTCAAAAGCTCAGTTCAGATTTTTCCACTGAATCTGAAAAGCCTCTCAACGGTGCCCATGAACATAAGTCTCTCCACATTTCCCATTTAAGCACACTGGGAATTGGCAGACGTCCTATCCTGCCAGTTCGGAAAACTGCCTCCATTCCTACATGCTAAGTGCCTCCAAAACAACTCAGAGACAAAAAACAGCACATAAATTATACAGCTCTCCCATGTGCCTGGCTTCCCATCTGCCATGGAGAGAGCCCACAGATTGCCATGGTGTCCGCAAATTGAGCATATAATTCGAGCTCACTGGGAAGGCAAGCAGAGACCAGCAGATTCCAAATGGTAAAGAATCAGGGGTGGTAAAAGTGTTCCAAATTCAGTGTGTCCCCTCTGATTAAAATAAGAAGAATAAAAGGCATCCCATCACCAGCAACCTAACTGTATTTTTGGGGTAAGGGTTCTGAGTGCGCCTCTACTACCATAAAAGAACAACCATTTTGTGAGAACAATTAAGCATTGGAACCACTTGCCTTCAACTTGCCTGGTGGTCCTCTTGGTGATGACTCAATCAGTCTTCCTTCTGATCTTTTCGCTGGCTGAGTTTTGCAATAAGGAATACTACTACTACTACTACTACTACTACTACTACTACTACTACTACTAATAATAATAATAATAATAATAATAATAATAATAATAATAATAATAAGAAGAAGAAGAAGAAGAAGAAGAAGAAGAAGAAGAAGAAGAAGAAGAAAGAGAGAGAAAGAGAGAAAGAAAGAGAAAGAAAGAAAGAAAGAAAGAAAGAAAGAAAGAAAGAAAGAAAGAAAGAAAGAAAGAAAGAAAGAAAGAAGGAAAGTCTGGATAGTGAATGTGGCAGTGCCTGGAGACAGCAGAACAGAAGAGAAAGAACTGGAGAAGATCACAAAACACAAAGACCTACAAATAAAAATAGAAAGATTATGGCAAAGGCAAGCTAGGGTAGTACCAATAGTAAAAGGCGCCTTGGGTGCAATCCCAAAACAACTGGAGCCCCACTTGGACACCATCGTCGGCATTGACAAATTCGCTATCAGTCAATTGCAAATGGCAGCCTTACTAGGAACAGCTTCCATCCTGCATCGAGATCTGTAACACCATCAAACATCCAGATCTGCCTATCCCAGGTCCTTGGGAAAGACTCAATAGGTAGACAAAAATGCCAAATCCAGTCTGAACATCTGGCTGACTGTGCAATGATTTATTATTATTATTATTATTATTATTATTATTATTATTATTATTATTATTATTATTATTATTATTATTATTATTATTATTAGTAGTAGTAGTAGTAGTAGTAGTAGTAGTAGTAGTAGTATTGGTATTATTAGTATTATTATTATAGAATGACCTCCAAGGTCCCTTCCAACATCATCATCATCATCATCACCATCATCATTATTATTATTCTCAGTGAAGAACAGTGAAAGTCCCACTGAAATAAATCTTGATTGATGGCTTTCTTTCTTGTTTGCTGCTGTTAATTTTTTTGTTGCTTCCTAATGAGTGGCTTCATTCTAGTAGTTTTCCAACACAGGAGAAAGAAATAAAATTAACATCCATATTTAGTGTTCATTGGTTAGAAAGCTGCACTAATGAAATGTGTCAGTTGATGACGTTATGCAGTGAACTGAACTGTGCGCAAATCATTTGGGAGTCTGATGTACATGAAGCAAATCTGGGGCGGAGTGAAAAGAGGCAGCAGCCTAGAATCTCTACGTAGCCACAAATGAACTAAATCCAACCCCTCCCTTGAGTGCCGCTCACCCTTATCTAACTCTAAGCAGTGCCAAGCATTAGTTGAGAAGATTCCTGTGCATAGACTGTTTAGCAATAAATCAGTTTAATTGGACCTTCACGTGTGGACCTGGTCTTGCAGTTTTTCATGATCTGCTGCTCTTTGCTGCATGTAACAATCTGATTTTTCTTTCTTTCTTTTTCAAAACAGGCACTACAAGGCCTCATAAGGAGGGGGAAGTTCCTGGGGTGGATTATATTTTCATCACTGTTGAAGATTTTATGGAACTGGAGAAAAGTGGTGCTCTTCTAGAAAGTGGAACCTATGAAGGTAAGGGCAGTCTTCCTGCAACGCCAACCTTGCAGTTTCGTGATGTTTCTCCCATTTTCGAGGTTTGCATTAGGACATCACATTAGAATGTGGCACAATATGCATTTTGTTACATTTGGAATAGAAGACAGTTTTGGTAATTTCTTTTCTCAGTGAAGAGAGAAAGATAGATGATGACCATGATGACTATCATGGTCATGATGATGATCATGGTGATGATGATCGTGATGATGATTGTGTGATGATGATCGTGATGATGATCTTGATCATGATGATGATCATGATGATGATCATGGTGATCACGGTGATCACAATGATGATCACGGTGATCATGATGATGATCATGATCATGATCATTATGATCATCATGATCATCATCATTATGATCATGATCATCACAATCATCACCATCATGATCATCACAATCATCATCATGATCATCACTATGATCATCATCATGATCATCACCATGATTATTATCATGATCATCACCATGATGACGATCATGGTGATGATCGTGATGATGATTGTGATGATGATCATGGTGATCATGGTAATGATCATGGTGATCATGGTGATCATGGTAATGATCATAGTGATGGTGATGATGATCATGGTGATCATGCTGATAATCACAATCATGGTGATCATGATGATGATGATCATCATCATTATGATCATTATGATCATCATCATCATCATAATCATCATCATGATCATCACAATCATCATCATGATCATCACCATGATGATGATCATGATGGTGGTGGTGGTGATGTCCATTCAGTCATGAGCAACTGTTGGCAATTCTATGGGCCAGATCTCGCCACATCTTCCAATCTTGCTCTGCTTCTTTGAGTTTTTCTTGTTCTGGCTGATGTCCGCTTTGATGGTGTCCAGTTACCATGTTCTTTGATGGCCTGGTTTCCTTTCACTGCTAACCTCCAAACATAATTGCTTTCTCCAGTGAGAAACAGAAATAGGCACATGTAATTAAAATCCGCCATCACACAACTTAATAAGAAGAATGAATGCTGAGATGAATTCATCCACCACTTGTAAAGTTAAGGTGTCAAGCGCATCCCCTTCATGATCTGTAATTGGTTGAAATTAGTTTCGAGTGGAAATATTTTGTATAATGAACTAGATTCCTTATTCATGAGAATCTTTCCAACAGAGGCTGTAATGGATGGGCATGTCAACCTCACAATGCACTCACACGCATCTTCTTTCCCATTATTAATTGTCTCACACAAATTAATGTACTTCAGAAGCTGATTCAGCACTTTTAAAGTCAGGGAACGGTGCTTTAATATACTTTTTCCTCAAAACTGAATGAAAAATAGAAAGGAAAAAAAAACCACCCAAGATATGGGACACAGATAGAGAAGAAAATGGCAGTGATATGTAGATTTAAAAATACCAGCTTAATAGATGTTCAGCAGGCAGTTTTTCTGATGCCCTCAGGGTTATTGTTGATACATTTCTTCAACCGTCATCAAAATCATCAATAAAAATGGAATTTGTGAGACATTAGTATATATCATGTTGACCTGGAATCGGAGTGGAACTTTAGAATGCATAAAATCTTTTTCTGGCTCAAAAAACCTTCCCTCTCCAAATGGCTAAAAATAAATAATCTATAATGGTGCAATCAGGGTCAACACTACCATAGACTAAGTCTGAAAGTGTTAAGAAAGCAAAACAGAAAAAAAGACTCATTCTTTGTGACTTGTCTTCGCATGTCTTCTTTGTTTTCAGAACTTAGATAGGGCAGATAGCTCAACCTTTCCTCTGAGCTGAAATGATATGATTGGGAGAGTCGCTTTAGCTCAAGAACGTCCCACTGTCCTGTTGAAGGATGTTCTTGGGAGCATCACAAAAATGAAGGTAGCAGCTGTGATCGTGTGATCAGAGTCCTTTCCCTTATGCACCAGACAGCTATAAGAACTGTGGTGGTGCAGTGGTTAGAAGGCAGTATTGCAGGCAAACTCTGCCCACTGCCAGGAGTTCAATCCTGACCGGCTCAAGGTTGACTCAGCCTTCCAGCCTTCCGAGGTCGGTAAAATGAGGTCCCAGATCGTTGGGGGCCACAGGCTGGCACTGAAAACCGCTTAGAGAGGGCTGTAAAGCAGTATATAAGTAGAATTGCTATTGGTAAGTGCTGTGACACGTAACAAAGGGGAAAGACTTCAATCCTGCAGTTGTGGCCACCATATTGATTTTACGGGAGTGTGGGGGTGGGGGTCCAGGGTATCCAAGGAGCCATCTCACCCCACTCACACCAGCGGAAGAGGCCTGCTACAGATCCCATTTGTTAAGGAATTCCAGCAGGTGGTTCAAGAAGAGCTTTTTCTCTTGTGGCCCCATCCCTGTGGAACTCTCTACCACTGCAGATTAGATTTGTTCCTACCCTCTGGCCTTCTGGAAGGGTATTAAAACTTGGTTTGGCTGGGTTGGCTTGTGTCCCCAAGGGGGACTGCTTCCCTCCTGGAGGTGGTTGACGTGGTAAAAAAAAACCCTCATCCTCATGCTATCCTTCCCCTAGTCCAGGGGTAGGCAACCTTGGCTCTTTTATGACTCATGGACTTCAACTCCCAGAATTCCTGAGCCAGCATGGGGGAACTATGGCCCCTTCCTGACTCATGGACTTCAACTCCCAGAATCCCTGAGGTAGACACGCTGAGGGGAAAGGGAGAGGTTTCCAAGCTGAGCCATGCTGGCTCAGGAATTCTGGGAGTTGAAGTCCACGAGTCATACAAGAGCCAAGGTTGTCTACCCCTGTTCTAGTCCTTATTTTTTTTCTACAGTTTTTAATCCGCAGAGTTTGAGTATCTTAATTATTTTTCGATTTGTCTTTTTAGAATCTTTTATCAATAAATATCCCCACCCCATCCCATGGACATCTCCGGTCAGATCGTGACACAAGTCTTTTCAGTCCTAGGAGAGATAGACGTGCATGGATGCAGGAAAACAAAAAGGGCTGTTTATCGGAAGATTGAAGTGTTTGTCAAAAGATGGCACTTTTTTTTTCAGGAGTACCGTCTGATTTTCAATTGCTTCTTGAGAAGGACTTGATAGGCCCATCAAGAGGTGTTTGAACAGTTGAAGCATTTTCGCTCTAAGGAGCATTGGTTCCGGAATGCTTGACTTTTTATGTTCATGATGGGGGAAATTGAGATTCTACTTTTTGAACTGTACTCTGCCTTTTGCTTGGCCAACAATTTGAACGTTGTTTCAAATTATTGGCCAAGCAAGTAATAATGTAAGTTATAATTTGAACTATTTCCTGCTTCTGTTGTAAAGACTTGACTCTCTATAGCAGAGGTCCCCAACCTTTTGGGCACCAGGGACTGGTTCCGTGGAGAGAGGTTTTTCCGCGGACCGGAGGGCGCATGGTTTTGGGTGCTGCCTGCATCCCGGGGATGGGGCTTTGCTTGTTTGTGTGGACCAGTTGCTGGCATGCCATGGCCCAGTACCAGTCCACAGACTGGGGGTTGGGGACCTCTGCTTTATAGGACGAATGTAATTTTCTCTTGGGGTCCTTGGTGCCATCTGCACTTGGTTGTTTCCTTGTAGATATTTCCGTACCAAATGAAATTACCTAGAACTGAAATTACCTAGCCTTCATTAGCCTAGCATTGATGATGTTACCTAGTTTGGTAATGAAATGTCTGCAAGAAAACAACCAAGCTCAGAGAGCACCAAGGGATCTCTACAATAGAGCCACAGTTCACCATGAGTTTTCTCTGCAATACTGGCTCACGAAACATTTTTCATGGGTATTTCTTCAAAGTGTGATTCAGAGCTTCCCATTGTTGTTCTAGTTCAGGGAATCACAGCAGCGTTGTATGGAACTTCCATTCATTAGAGAGGCTTTCTTTGGAAATGTGGTACAGCCGATATTCAAAATAAAAACTGAATGGACAATGAAAGGAACAGGTCTGCAGATATCTCTACTAATCCTATAAGATCCAATCTGAGTCGGTCACCAGGACCAAAGGTTTATTCTTCCAAGCTTTTGATGCTTTTCGTGCTGGAGCCCATCCACGAGGAACTTGATTCATTTCTTCTTTTCTCTGGCTGTTTTTGTCCTTGCTCAGCCAACAAATGTAGTAGCTGTGAAATTAAATGCATGTCCTTGTTCCTTGTAGTGGGAGGCTACAAATTGGTTCAGGTCTCCTTGTCTAACCACTGGCTTGTACTCTCACAATCTGGTGGTTAGCTTCTTGCCCGTCTGTCTGTCTACAAACCTTGTGTAAGAATCATTTTTCCAGAATCCAATCAACTAGTCAAGGCATTGTTGAATTTGTATTCTCGTTATTTCTTTAGTATTTCTTCATTTCTGTGGCTGGTTTTGTCCCTGCTCGGCCAACAAATGTAGTAGCTATGAAATTAAATGCATGTCCTTGTTCCTTGTAGTGGGAGGCTACAAATCGGTTCAGGTCTCCTTGTCTAACCACTGGCTTGTACTCTCGCAATCTGGTGGTTAGCTTCTTCCCCGTCTGTCCGTTATAGTCTACAAACCTTGTGTAGGGATCATTTTTCCAGAAGCCAATCAACTAGTCAAGGCGCCTGTTGTATTTGTGTTCTCGTTATTTGTATTCTCTGTTGAATGTGAACCTCTCACGACAGAGAATGCCTTGCAGCCAGACATGAATGTCAAACCGGCCTTTTACAGTCACAACGCCACAACTTTGTCGCCGTTGTTTATTAATACATGGTTTCTGGTCTGCAAAATTCCTCCATCGTGCTGATTCTAGGTTGGTAATATCATCACCACTGCGGTAACATTGTGTTGTTTTTTTAATCCTTATCCTTCATGTAATTCTGATTTGATTTGATTTGATGTTGAAAATGGCACTCAGAATATGTGTCATTTTAAACAAAAGCGTTCACTTTTTTTGGTTTTTTTTTTGAGACAATGTTTTTGCTTCCATAGTCTTATTTTGCCAATAACGGAAAGAAAACGGCTTTAGCACTTATTTTTCATACTTGGT